AAATTGAATTTTCTAAAAAACGGCGTACTTAACTTTTTTCTAAAAAGAGTGTAAATTGCAATATTTGGATGGAAATTTGCGGAGTTTTCTTTAATTTTGCATAAGGTTTGGATGATTTTTGGGGTTTTTGGTGTAGAAGTAACCTTATTTTTATAAAAAATTAGGGAAAAATAAAATATTTAAAAAATAGTTGCCGGTATTGTAAAAACTTCACTGTACCTAAACTTTATTGACTGACTGTATATCTTATTTAAGTTAAGTACGACAAAAACTTTCGAAGTACTTCATATACATATAAGCTTAAAAAGAACTGAATTTACTTAAAAATCAATATGCTTAAATTTAGACAAGTAAGACAAAGTGAACTAATATTTTTACTTTTAAGCAGAACGCACTTTTGTTTTTAACTTACTACTTAGGTTTAATACTACTACTACTACTAATGTGGTTTATACATTTTTAATAAATGCGTTTAAACAGTTCCGCACTAGTTCGTTTCCCTACAGGGTATGTATACACTTCATATATAGTAGGTAAGAAACGTGTGCATTAAAAAATAACGAAATGGCAAGTAACTCAAAGTCTGTAACTCCGCATTTCACAAGTTTCAAAGTTTTCGGTTTATCGCGGATAGGTTTTGAATCATTTTTATTAATCATTTAATTTTAATTATCAATTTTAAGAACTTTTTAAGTATATACCGTATTCTACAAGCAATTATGAATAATTTGATACCTTAGCAAGAGATGTGCTTTCAGAATAAACTAACTTTTAAAGATAAAATATTCTGCGATCTTCAGCGTAATTTTTATTCCAAAAACACCTTAATTGAAGGCACATTTGAAAAATACGTCGGAACGATCGAAATCTTTCTATAACTGCTAGTCCTTATAAAATTACATATTTCTGTAAAATGTTTCAAAAAAGTGTTCTCTAGAAGTGTGTAAAACCCCCGATTTAGTACTTTTATTATGCTCCTTCTTGTAGTCAGAATATTTCGAGCGTGGTATCAAATCAATTTTTTTTGACAAAGGTTCTGTTAGTTGCTCTTACTTAATTGGAGCCTTTTAAATTCAATGGCGTCCCCAGTTTTCCCGATTGTCTCCCCTTTTGGAGATAGTGGTACTTAAAACTCTGCTTAATTTTTAACTATTTTATAAAAAAAACTCCCTCAGTTTTGAAGGTTTTGCACACGCTTGTATTTTAACATTTCCTTGACTATGTCATAAAATCATCGAAATCGGTTCACTCTAAAATCAATCTCCCATACAACTGATTGTCCAGAGACGTTGCTTTGCGTTATAACTCCTCCAATTAAGCAGGTAAAAATTTAGTATAGGTTCAGTTTAACATATAGCACGCATACAATTTATTATTCAGATATGAAATTAGAGTTATATCGCAAACACACATATCTGAGTAATCAGTTGTATTGGAGCTATACGTCAAAGTGCACTCATTTCGATAATTTTAAGGAATAATTAAAGTAATATTAAAAAACCGGTATATGCAAAATTTTAGTAAAATTAGTTAATTTAAATAGTTATAATTTAATGAAATTTTCAAATACGGTTATCTCAAAAACCGGAGCGAATCTGGTAAAATGGGGGATACCATTGAATTTAGAACGTCCCAATTAAGTGAGTTCGACTTTCAAAATCTTTGCTCAAAATTTACAACTTGAACAACGTAATTGAACCCAGCTTATACTTTTGTTTTCTATTTCATGTTTATTCCTCGTCTAACTTTTGAAGCACTTGATGAAAATGAATTACACTTATATTAATCGATTCATCGAGAGTACGAATAAAATGATATATAAAACATAGGTGTGCTCACAAATTTAAAAATTAAAATTTTTTTAAAGTGTACCTATTTTTTAGATTTACCCATACGCGCGAAAAGGACAATGAAAAGGTAATATTTTTTAAGTTATAGCCCGCACACAATGAAAACGACGAGCTACAGACCACAGCTGTTAAATTATTTTAACGCGTACTCTTATGTAGATAATTATTTTGGCGACGACCGGGCTACACGACGGCCGGTTCTACACACCGGAATGACTCGGGTTTTACCCGACCAAGGGCTGTTGTTTCGGCGATCTAACCGTCGTTCGTGGCCCCATGCTGTGCGAACCGGACCCGCCTCCACGGCAAACCACCACCCGTCTGGGCAGCACACAATCAACACACCCACACCCCAACACAACACAACAATAGACACACAAACAAACACAATAGCACCCACACAGCGCCGCCGGCAACTCCTAGTCCCTCCGACAATCTGCTCTGTTTTTCAGTCCAGAATATACCGTAACGTGACATCAGTCAAGTGCAACTCTTGCCTCGGCTGGTGCCACTTTAGGGCGTGCTCAGGACTTCGCAACACGCGAGATTGGACGAGTGACTATGTGGGCCCCTGCTGTGCTGCCCCGTCGCATCACTCCCCCGCGACGCCGCCAACCACCACCACAAGGCAGCACCCCCTTTTGCAGCACGTACAGCAGGGGGCCGGCAGGCAACACAACTCTTTAACACCACACATCACAATCGGTCTCCCAAGGCACACAAAGGTGCTACAATTTAACTATAATGGACTCCAGAGCAAGATCGAGGAGGTAACTGTCTTTATGGGAAGGCATGGAATATTAATAGCTGCGGTCCAAGAGACGAAGTTGCACGGCAATTCAACCCTGTTTAATTTCGCTGGATACAACGTGCACCGTCGAGTTCGCGAGCGAGATAATGGTGGAGGTTTAGCGTTCATCATGCACCACGCCGTGCAGTATTGTTTCATTGAAGCAGACATCGACCGCAGGGATACCATCCTACAATGTCAGGGTATTGATATCCGGTCAGGCGATGTTGAGCTCGAAATATTTAACGTATACATACCCCCTGTCACCAGCTGCCCGGCAGGATATCACCCTGAAATAGAGGCGCTACTCAGAGGTGAAAAACGTATGGTAGTTGGCGACTTTAACGCGCACTACGATCTTTGGCACTCAAGCCTGTCAAATGATCGTAGGGGAATACATCTGGCTGAGCAGATAGACGATTCGACATTCTGTACAATGAACGACGACGCACCCACCAGGATTATGGGCAGCTGCTGCAGCTCGCCAGATCTAACAATTGTTAGCGCTGGTCTGATAAACAGCGTATCATGGCGACCTATGCTGACTCTAGCATCAGACCATCTGCCCATAGTCATCTCGATTGATAAATCTGCGACTTTGTTTCCGTGGATCACCGGACTTATGTCAACTTTTCCAAAGCAGACTGGAAAGGCTTCACGGATGTTACTGAGGGCGCCTTAACTGGACTACCCATACCAACCGACGTTCATGTAGGTGAACGTAAGTTCCGCAGGGTTGACACCGCTGCTGCAGCTCGCTTCATCCCAGCAGGATTTATTAAGGATCCACGTCCAAATTTTCCTGACGAAGCGGCTGTTCTAGCTGATGAGCAGACAACCGTCCCCCGTATTAGGGATCTCAATTCGGAGGTTCGGCAACTTGTGAACGTACATAAGCGGAAGAAATGGGAAGAGCATCTGAAGACCTGCAACATCGCCCCTGGTGTGAGCAAGCTTTGGTCAACCGTGAGGTCGGTGTCCAACCCGACGAAGCGCGACGACAGAGTCGAGATAGACTTTGGTGACTACGCTTCGTCGGACCCGGAGAGATGCGCGAGCTATCTTAGCCGGCAGTTCATTCCGCATCCTCCGGTGGATAAAGCCAAACGTCGAGTGACCAGAAGGCTGCACAAAGTGCCAAAACCTAGTGCGCCTCTTGTTTTCACCAGCGGTGAGGTAAGGGTAGCCATCGGGAAAGCGAAAGCCGGAAGCAGTTCCTTGCTGGGAGCCACAGACGTGGCCATCCCAGCGGACAACTGCTCGCGGAAGAGCCCTCGCCACGGCACGTCAGGAGTCATCTTTACGAACTGACGGACGAAGTCCAGAGGTATATCAAACAACCCGTCAACTTACCGACAGGCCCTGCACCGCATTCACAGGGAATCAGTCTCAAGTTATGTAGACTCCCGCCCTGTGAATGCCGTTCTAGGCAAACAATCACCGGACATGGACGGGACAGAACTTTGTCTGCCTCGGGAGACCCGCACTACAATAGCACAACTTCGCTCTGGCTATTGCAGCAGGCTCAACAGCTACCCGTGCAGAATCAACGAGGATGTGCCCAACCAATGCCCGGTATGTAGAGAGTCGCCACATGACTCCCGGCACCTCTTCACAGGCCCTGAGAACCCCACTCAGCTTACGCCCCTGTACCTATGGAAGAAGCACACTTCCTGGGCCTCCCCCTAGCTGAAATTGACGACAACGTTGATGGATGAGACGCCCCGAACGGGGCTTAGTAGCCGCTACAACAACAACAGCAACTGCTGTGGTTGTGACCAGATTAGATCTATTTCTATTTTTCCGATTCTTCCTCTTTTTTTATGTAAAACTTATACAAATTCATGATGTCGCTGCCGCATTTAGATAATGAAGATAGCAAATTGGAGGCTCTGGCCCATAGTAGGGATGGGTAAATTCGATATCCGAAGCATCGAGATTCGAATTTTAATCGAATTTTCGCTCCGAAATGGCGAATTTTTGAAATCGAACTTTAAGGTGCTAAAATTCGGATAAAATCGAACTTTTCTAGAAAAATATGGATTTTCTTCTTTATTTGCAAAAAAGCAAATCTGCGACTTTTTGACTAAATTTGGCATCACTCTAGAGGACGCCACGTTTGACTTAGGGATGCAAGTAAAAAAAAACATCGACTTTTTTCTAATGCATCGATGTATCGTATATAAAAATCGGTATTTTCGATGCATCGAATAAATTGAAAACATACAAGAAAATGGAACTATCGGACTTACAGCCCTATTCCGGTTTTGCAATACAATGACAATTGATCATCCTTCATTATCGTGATTTTGTCATTGTCGTTGCACGTTGCTGTTCCTAACAATGAAAGTGAAAAGCTTTTGTCAACTTACCATGCATGGTGAAAAGTTCATTGTTGTAGAAACAGCTGGTCAACGCTATTATTTGCAAAAAATATGAGCGGTGAAACACCAGAAAAGTGAGTATTTGTGTGAAATAGATAAATTCGTATATTTATAACATTTATAAATATTTTAGACGTGCAAAATATGAGCGGACGACGCAGGAGCAGCTGCAATTTTATGTGCAGTTTTGTAGGGAGCATCCGGAGCTGCTCGTCTTCCACACGCACGGCTGCGCAAATAACTAAAATTTGTTCTGCCATTGAAATTAATTGATTTTTATATTTTTTCACAAATTTATTAAATCGTCGCACTTTTTAAACCAATACAAACATATGGTTTTGCTTTGTCCCCTGCCCAAAAGGTCATGACAATAAAAATGACAATTGGGATGATTCGAGCTTTTGAATTTTGCTGCGAATACCAAAAAGCTGCAATGGTCATTTTTATATCAATTACACAGGTCAACAACGTTTTGTTCTAGGAAAGTGTAGGGTCATTTTCGAAGTAATTTTTTGCGTAGAATCCGAATCCGGGGTTTAAATTGCTCTATCACGTCAGGATTTTGAGATATCCTAACCTAAAAGTGCAAAAACGCTGTTTTTGCCCATTTTTGAGGTTATGTAGCTACGCAGATTTTGCTCTTCATAAAAAAGTAAACGTGGTATTTTAAAGTATAAGTCTTCCTCTTTTAAATGCCGTTGAGTTTGATAAATATCTTTATTTTTCACTGAGATATCGCATTTTGAAGTTTCCATGTTTGTGAATTTTTCGATATTCGAAAATCCATTGAGATAACATGAGATACGGTCGATTACATTCACAAACACGGAGACTTCAAAATGCGATATCTCAGTGAAAAATTAAGATATTTGAGCAAACTCAACGGCATTTAAAAGAGGAAGACTTATACTTTAAAATACCACGTCTACTTTTTTATGAAGAGCAAAATCTTCGTAGCTACATAACCTCAAAAATGGGGAAAAACAGCATTTTTTGCACTTTAAGGTTAAGATATCTCAAAGTCCTGACGTGATAGAGCAATTTAAACCCCGGATTCGGATTCTACGCAAAAAATTACTTCGGAAATGACACTACACTTTTATAGAACATTCCGAACCCATTTTTTTGCAGACCTGTGCTATCATCGCGGTGAGTTTTGTCAGTGTGACGGAATAGGGCTGTTAGATAAATTATTAAGTATTAACTCAAAGTGAAATATGTTTGTTGATTTAATAGTTGCAAATCCCATTTATAAATATAAATTCATGCACCGTATATGAAAATCGATATTTTCGATGCATTGAATGAATAAAAAAAAATGTGCAAAGAAATTGAACAATCAGAACTTCGATAAATGTTTAAGTATAAACTGAAGGTGGAATATGTTTATTGATTTAAATAATTGCAAATCCCATTTATAAAAATAAATTCATGCACCGTATATGAAAATCGATATTTTCGATGCATTGAATGGATTAATAAAAATGTTCAAGGAAATTGGAAATCGGAACTTCGATAAATGTTTAAGTATAAACTCAAGGTGAAATAGATTTATTGATGATGTAAAAGTAAAGATAATTAATTTATGTTCCAGTTGATGTACATACGTTATTTGGTTTTTTATATTGTGTATATATTTTTTTTAATGACGTTCATCTAAAATTTGTTTTGAAAAAGGTATTTAAATTGTGTTTGAATTGTCAGCAATACTATTCTAATCGGTCAATCGGTTTATTGGTATTCTTATAAGCTGCAAAATCATATTTATAATCTAAAAGACATTAATACAATGAATACAATACAATAATTTAATACAAAATGTATATTTCGTGAACATTCATTCGCATCAGCTGTCAAATTGAAATATATCGATGTATATTGAAGAGAAAATACTATGGTTTTATTCGATGATTCGAATAGCAAACATCAATGTTTCCAATGTATCGATGTTTTTGTGTATCGATGTTTTTGTGCATCCCTAACTTGCCTCCATTTCAATTCTGCAAATTTGCTTGCGTTTATTTTACACAGGTAAGAATATAGTGAAAATGTATACTATTAGTGTTATACAAGTTTGGTTTTGCTTACTGAATTCTTCATATATTATTACTAACAATGAGCCCAAGTATTGTGTGGCAGTACTACGATAAAAAAGAAAAAGGAATTGCGATCTGCGGGAAGTGCGGGAAATGCTTTAAGTACCACAGAAGTACAACCACGTTAAAAAACCACGTAGAAAAAGTACACAAAATTAAAATGGAGGTAAAGGAATTTAATCTATATATTTCAATACGAAAAATTGTTCCATTTATTTATAGAAAACTGACATCATTTAGCTTGTGGACAACGATGATGACAATGAGGTATGAGTTCCCTAGGGTTTAATTTGTAATACATATTTAGGGAGTTCACAAGGTGTTGTATACTATCGTACTGTTGTATGTCATAAACTTTAAACGGTTAAAACTATACTTAAGGAATTCGCAAGCTAACATAAAAGTTTTATTATGAAATTTCACACAGTTAAAAAATAGTTGGTCGTGATTTCAAGTCCTCTAAACATTTATTTAGCCGTTAATAACTTTACAACATACGACAATACGACAAGTACGACACCTTGTGAAC